TTGCCCGGGCAGGTCTCGAACCCTCAGGCTCAGGCAATCCACTCGCCTCGGCCTCCCAAACTGCTGGGATTACAGGCTGAGCCACCGAGCCTGGCCTCTCCACTTTTTCATTGTGGCTTGCGAGACCAGGAGCGTCCTCAGGCCCAGGACTGAGGTCCAGGCATGCCCTGCCCTTGGCCAGTCTGAGGAGAGCACACATGGCTGCAACTGCGGCTGCGGCATCTTCTGCCTGGCTCCCGGGCAGACTTGAGAAACACTAAGTTAAACCCCCTGATTGTATCCAAGAAGGCCAAGCCTCAACCAGAAGGGTCTTCTGGGTCTTTGGTCTGGACAAGAACATGAAACTTGAATTTGACAAGGTGAGGTGAAGGCCACACAGGGAGTCAGGATGGTCACAAGGAAAGGATCTGTGTCGGAGGGAACCTATCAGACCCCAGGGCTCTGAGTTGCCTTCAGGTCTCTCTCCCACTCGGTTTTGTGGCCAAGATAAGGCTACCTTTTAGAGAAGAAGCCCCAAGTCAGCCCTCTGTCCTTGTTTGCCCTCCCCAGTCTGCACCTGGTAGCCCAGAGCCAGCTCTTCTCACACTTCAACTACTAGAGGGAGGCACAAGAATCTTCTGCAACAAGAATTTTTTTTTTTGAGTTGGAATCTCACTCTGTCGCTCACGGCCACTGCAGCCTCGACCTGCTGGGCTCAGATGATCCTTCTGCCTCAGCCTTCCAAGTAGCTGAAACTACAGGCGTGCACCACCACGTCCAGCTTATTTATTTATTTATTTATTTTATTGTAGAGATGAGGTCTCGCCAAGTTGCCCGGGCTGGCCTTGAATCGGTGGGCTCAGGCAATTCTCTCACCTCTGCCTCCCAAAGTGCTGAGATTATAGGCGTGAGCCACCGTACCTGGCCTAATTTTTTTTCATTGCTGTTATTTATTTTGCCACTCAAAAAAAAATAATCACCCCCAAACTCCTAAATGATAACACAGCATCAAGGCTACGACAACGGGAAGGGTCTACGCTGTGTTACTTGGCAGAAGACTATCCATCACCTTGAACTTGACTCTGTTCTACACTGCACAGACACACATGCTGGGGCCCTCTCAGGGCCGCCCCAGGTCTTCCGAGGAGGCGGCCAAGGGGTCGGGCAGGCTGTCGAGGTCCCCGGCCTCTTTGAGACGCAAGAAATCCAGAAAGTCAATGATCGTGCGCACAATACTGGACTCAGGTATCGGCCTGTCAGCTCTCCCCGGCTGCACCTTGTCTCCGGGACGGAGCTCCCGCTTGCCGGTGAGGCCGTGCTTGTCGCCCAGCGACCTGTGGTTGTCCATGGCGTGCGGGCCCAGCGGGTACTCGGCGCTGTTCAGGGTCCAGCCTCGCTGCTCCTGG